AATGACTCAGACGCGTTGGCGCGCCGCCCCTTGTCCGCAAGCCTTTCGTTATCTTGGGTTTTAAGTCAACTATGCGTGCCTGTTTATCAATTGAAGGGTTTCGTCAACATTGAGAGAGTCGTAGCAGATGCGAACAACATCATTTGAAAAGGATTGGATCAGCTGTAAAAGCATCGAGAACTACATGAAATAGAAAAAAACAACAACTTGGGGTTTACCGACAACATCTGCTCAGCGTCTACGTGATCGGCATCAGATGTTACATCCAAAAATGAGATACGGCGATCTTCTCTTGCGATAGCCAGGGCTTTTTGTAGATGTTGCTGATACGCTGGCCAAAGCACTTCTTCAAAATATCCGTCAACATCAGGTGGATCATAAGCGCGCCTCGTGCGACGACGACGACAGGTGTCCTATAAATCGCATTTCGCATCAAAATCTTTAGATAAGGTTTTGTTACCTGATCGAGAGTTAGGAAAATCACACGATCACACAGCTCGATGAGATCTGCCCATTCTGTCAACATATTTCCCTCAACAATGACGTAGTCGTAGTCAAGGGCGGCCTAAAAATGCAACAAGATTGCAACTACCAGTGCTGGATTGTTAGTTTTGTTTTTTGTTTTTTTGAACTTGAAAACGTAAAAAAAGTTCTGAGTACCCTTGATTGTTTCACAAAAGACGGTTGATTTTCCTTGTCACTTGGTCATTAGGTGTATGTCGGCCTACCTGGAGTACTTTACGTTGCCAGTCAGATAAACCATAATATTCCCAGAACAGAATGCTCACTTAGCTTACTCGTATCTAGTGATACAATCGGCTGCGAGAGGCGCGTCCCATGGACAAATATAGAAACTTGCGCTCGCAAATCGTTGGTGAGGCGCCATTTTGACGCGCCTCTCGCAGCCGATTGTATCATTAGGTCTTCTTTGCTTCTCTTTATCTTTGTCTAGGAAGAGTGCGTGTAAGTTCCCTCTAAAGGCATCCTAGCCAAAGCGCCGCTGCGGCGCTTTGTCTAGGAAGAGTGCGTGTAAGTTCCCTCTAAAGGTATCCT